GAATATTGGCTGTTGCCCCCAGAGGCTAATTGTATCATCAGATGATAGCCAGTGGATTCTGAAATTGCATTAAGATACATATATCAATGGGTCAATTTGAGGACCCTCTTGCTGTGAGGGGACTGTGGTAACCTGAGGCACGATGCCGCACTTTTTTATGGTGAATGGTCTAAATAGTCTTTTTATATGGTGCTTTTTTTTGGTCTTGATGACCACTAAAGCACTTTACAGTAAAGTTTTTGCCATTCACCATCATGCCCGCCAAGGCAACAGCAGGATTTAGGGGTTTAGTACCTTGCCTGAGGACAAGTCAGCATGTCGTACGGGGGAAAACAGCCAACCCTTTGGTTAGATAGCACCTGAGCCTCTAGATTGGAAATGTAAACAGAGCATGGTCTGGGACTATAGCTGATACCACTGCTGTCGTATACAGCGGTGATATTGCCATCACTTTAGTTACATCTATTACTATTCACCTATAACTGGGAAACTGCACCAATGTTACATATCAAAGTCATTTACAGGTTCTGAGCACAACTCATAATGCAGGTGCTGGGCTTTGACAATAAAGAAAAATACAAAGAATTGGAAACACAACATCTCTTGTTCTGCTGCATCAATTTTGATATTTTCCCTTTAAGTGGCCTTTGTTCGTCAGACAATGTTATTCTGGTGCAATGCTAAATTCGATGCAGTGATATAAAGACATTTTAAAAGAAGGAATAGATGTTGAAAGTAAAAAATGATGTATCCAAGAGGGAAAATGTTTTTCCAATACTTAATATTGCTAGATGGTATAATAGGATTAGAAGGCATATGACGATAATTAAAACTGACAATATCAGTATGAGAAAAAGGCTTGACTGAGGTCAGAACTTACCACTATGCCTCTCTAAAATAAATGTGATTAGATTTTGGCCAGGTTTGTGTCGAGCTAGTTCTGCGGAAGCGTGCGAAATATGCCTTTGACTTTCTTTTTTTTTTTTACTTTCATTTAAAGTTGAGACCTGCCTGTGCCAAAGCTGATAACGTTGGCAGATCAGTCTGAGCCCAAAGCAAGCCTCAATCTACCATGTCAGATTGAGGATGTTAGAGCTACTCGCACTGCACACCAGGCCATTATTACTCTCTGGCAGCAACGGGTAAGGTGGGGTGCATGGGTCTTTAACCACTGATCCCCCCCCCCCGATCAAACCGAAGCCCACCGGGGATTAGAAATAGGATTAAGTGACCCTCAGCCCCTCACGAGCTTACTGTCATCCATCCATCTGAAGTGTGCGTTACATTTAGCTCTAACTACTGGGTCATATATGTAAGCAGGCTTTTAAAATAAGATTGTTCAGTCGCCTGCCTAGTTACATCAGCTTTGTGACTCAGATGACAGGATGTTGCCGCTCTATGTATTTAGAGATGGAGTGGGAAATGCATGAGTGACGCATAAGTAAATGTTTGAGTTGCACAATGTATATTTTAGATGCCAACAAAGAAGTGCTTTGTTCTGATTGAAAAAGCAGCTGCCACCACATAGAATCACTATAGTAAATCTACTGGTACATCTGGGAGCAGCATATATACAATCTCAGGGAGCCACGGTAATCTGTAACGCAGCAGACATAAGATAAGTGCTCCACAGGGCAGTGTATGTGTGTGTGTGAGAGTTTGGGTGTGCGTCAGTGCAGGTTTAGCCAGACATGCCGTACTGGGGCATGGTGGGGGTCAGAGCACAGAGAGTGCCTGAGGCGAGGTCAGCTGCCACCCATCATGCTTTCCCATGGATGAGAGAGAGAGACACTCAAAGCCGAAAGAAAAATGAAAAAAAAGAGAGAGTTTGGAGAAGGAACCCAGTCAAGTTTCAAGACGAAGAAACGCCAGTTTAGTTTGAGTGCCCTGAATACCTCCAAACATCTTCAGACAACATGTGTTTTTAACCATTTAAAAAAACAACTAATTTCCTTTTACTAACCTTAGCCCATTTCCGAAAGAACCTGTAAAACTTTTTAATGGGAGTTTAACATGACTGTATCGAGTCGAGCCAGCGAGGCAAACGAAAAAAACAGGGTGAGAGTAGGTTGAGGAGACAGACACATGCGGGGAAGATGGGGAGGGATAGTGAGCGCAACGATTTAGGTGGGCAGATGGTGCCGGCATATGGGCCTGTTAGGGGCAAAATAAATAAATAAACACTCTCACATAAATAGTGAGATGAACTGTGAGTGCCACAAACTGTTGGCCAACTTAGCCAGCTGAGAGAGAAAAGAGAGCGCACAAATGGGAGAGAGATACCATTGAAATTACTGGCAGATTTGTAAATGGACCACCACTGCTGAAAAACATGCGCACAGACAATTGGGATGGGGATCATGATAGGCTTTAGAGATGTAAGCTTCTGTGCGATCCTTAATCTCCAAGCAAGTGTTCATTACTCGTGTGTGCATTATAACAATAAAGAGGGGAGAAACACACGGTTGAACTGCTTTTTCTTCTGCCGTCGGGTCCGGTTGCTGTCTATAAATTCTCCTTTGCCTCTCATCTGGCTCTTGCTCAGCCTCAAAGCCTGTGGCTCAGTCAGGGAGACAGCCAGGTTCAGAGAGGTGATGTCCTCCAGCTAACAAACGGCTGCTTTGTACAACATGTTCTCTGCCCGTATCACCGTTGAGCTCCCAGACGACTGCAGTCAACAACAACTGCTCAGCAGGGACGAGAAAATGGAGGAGGACTGAAACACTTAAAATGTGTGTGTGTGTGTGCACATGTGGGCCCCTGTGTAGGCTTTTCTTACTTGAAGCCCACTGGTTCCATCACTTGAGCCTCACAGCCTCACACCTTTTCCAAACATGTGTGCACCCACTAGACTGTATGTAAAGATAAAAGACATGACAGCTCCCCAAAAGTGAAGCCAAAGCATCTCTATCGCCGCCCTGGTGGCTGTAGTATAGATCATAAACCCATCCGTCCAAATTAAAAAGTAAACTTCGAATTATTTTGTTCTAATAGATGGTTTCTGTCATTTTAGGTATTTGTTAACACACAAGAGCTCATTTGATCAGTATGTTTGCTTCTTATTAGTTATTTGATGCTATAAAAACTGGATGAAATTAAATGATTGATAGCTGAGACTGACTTGCGATTGGTCGAGCGCATGTGTAGGTGGAACCTTGATGCTGTGTCAATTTCTAGATGGTGGGAGGTAGTTGAGACATATCGTCCCTCTTTATGCTCATCGAAAAGAGCACTTTGCTAAGACTGTTGGCTCTGTAGACTGAAATGTAAACACTGTTGCCAAAATGCAAACAACCCACTGATCTAATAATTAATCAACGAGTGGAGGATTGTTGTTTGAGACTGTCTGCCACATGATACCAAACGATTTCAGATTGCATGTATAATTTAATATGTTTTTAACATATGTTGTTGTGAGTTGTATGTGTCTCACATCTGTTTCTGTATCTGTGTCTATAAACATATTACCTAATCCCCGGAAAACACATTTGGATGTTTCCACATTCCCCCCAGTTCGAGCGCGTGTGTGGTTGACAGACAATGCTGACACCTTGCCACTTTATATTCCGTTTGGCTCCCTGCCCTCGTAATGTCTGCAAATTTAATTTGATTGCAGCTGTAATCTTCCGGATAGTTAATTGACTTTGCTGAGCTTTGTCTCGCTCCTACCTTGATGGAGAAGGGGAGTTTGATAACTCACAATGTCTTATCCCTCTCCCTGTGAACCTGCACTTCCACACTGTGTGCCTTGGTCACTGGAGGGTACTCTTCAAGAACTGGATGAACTAATGTGATCTTCAAGGGGAAGCGTAATGTTGCTGTCATCTGTCTTGTCACAGCAGGGGGAGACATGCTGCGATGGCCCCTTGACAAATTTCATTCTTATTAAAAGCATTCGCTCTCAGATCCAGTTCCTAAAAGCTTTGTGGAGCTCTTAATTGTATCGAAGGGTCTTCAATACTGAATGAATTTTCTTCTGTTATCATGGAACTCTGGAAGAGTAAACCATTACACTCAAACTTAAAGACAAAAAAGTTTGAAGTTCAGCTGCTTATTTAACACACATACTTCATTTGTTGTCCTTTTCCATGTAATACATTAGCAACTCAATGTACAGGTTTTAGAATGATTGTGGTCTCAGGAAAAGTAGCTGATGTCTTGAGCCATCTTTTCCAAAACACTACTAAGTGTTTTTATGTCTTTACCTTTATACAGTCAATGGCCAGCTCTGATATCTCTCCGATGAACTGTGGCCAGTATACAGGCCCATTCAAAAACATAACAATAGCATTTTTAACCTCAAGTTCAACTCTAAGTTCATATGATTTTGCCAAAATAAATTGTTTTTATAGGATACAGGGAGAATTAGGTTGACATAGGTTGAAGATGTGGGCCATTAAAAGTGCAATGAGACCATGTCCTACAACCTGCCCCTGATTTAATGGTTCTAAACAAGTTTGAGTTTACTATTGACAAAAAGAGTGACTACTATGTAGGTTAATGGTAAAAGTTGCATGATCAATTGTGCTGGTTTACATTTTGTAGTGCACTGGTTGGTCCACAATACAGAGCAACCAATGTCAAAGCATCAGTGGCCTACATAGACAAACAAGAGACATTTGGTAGAATATAAAACAGGGTCATTCAAGTATTACAGAATGCCTACAGTGAAATAGAGAACTGCAGAAAACTCCAACATGGTGTGAGTAAACACTGAAGAGAAAGCTGTAACACAAGAAAACCTGCACCACTGAAGTGTCCTGAGTGATAATACTTTCAACCAGCGACACAAAGAGGAATGTGTTTGTTTTCATCGAGAAAATGAATTAACACTATCACAGGAAACTTAATCTTAAACTCCTACAGTTCACACACACACACACACACACACACACACACACACANCACACACACACACACACACACAGAAAAGTGCATGCATTGCTGCAATATACACACTCACAACGACACAAATATCAGAATGTCTCAGAAAAACTTACGGGTTGCCATAGTCCCAGACAACGCACTGAGGATCTGATGTACCCTGCAAGATACATGGGGGGAGAGAAGGGGCAGGGAGAGAGAGAGAAGATAAGCAGTTATTGCCAGCAGAGAGGATGAGTGAGGGCAGACAGGAGACAGAGTAGCTCATTGCCGGAGGAGAAAAGAGTGATGCTGCACGGACGATGGAGAGAGGTAAACAGACAATGAAAGGGAAGGATAGAGACAGACAGTCCGAGGGAGAGATTGAGAAAGAATCATTGTCGGAGGACAGAGCCCGGCAAATAGCTGCTGCGGCAGAAAAATAAAAGAGAAGGTGCGTGTGCAATGAATCGAGAGTTAGAGAGAAACAAGAAAAGCCATTTCATGGACAATAATACACAGCAAGCTGGGCTCATAAACATCCTGCAGTTGAAAAACATTTGAATTCTTCACTAAAGTACAACCGCAGTGGAAAGTGGCAGAGTTGAAGTAAACAACTATGAAGCAGTAAAATGTATCTAAGTGTAACAAGAAGTAGACTTCAGAGTGTGTAAAGGCTCAATGTCAAGTGAACCACTTAGTAAATTCAGTTACTTCTCCTTATCTCTACATCTGCGTATGTTGTCAAACAATCGATTGAGAGCATGTCAAAAAATAAGTCACAGACTCCTCAGTGTTTCAGGTTATATGTCACCTCAAACTTAATCCTTTCAATCACTGAACCCAAGAACCCATAGTGGAGATGGGGTGGTGGTGGTGGAATGGCAGGTGAATCATCTGGTGGTCAAAGCTCAGGCCAAACAAGACTCACTCAATTGTTGAATCAATCGTAGGATCGAAGTCCTTAACTGACTCATTGCAACTTGTTCCACCGGTGATCCTCAGTTATCCGGCCTGTGCCCTTTCAACCGGCACACCTCATTTGGGACAGGATTGGATTTGGATTGGTTTTTGAGGTGAACTTCATGGGCTCCTGATCTGGATCAAAGATTCTGTCCCTGAATTAATTTGTAAATCCAAAGAATTAAAATACTTAATCTGATGTCTTTATACGTGTGTCTTTTAAAGTAAGACAGATTAGGCTTCTGGTTCACTAGCCATAACTGAGATACTATTCTCCTACTGGGCTGATGCAGATGAGTCTGTTGGTCCTGCCTCAGTCCTGCATTAAGCACTTTGCCTTTGAGCTCCCCCTTATGGCATAGGGGATTATAGCAGTAATTCTACAACCACACTGCTGTGTTCAATAAAAAAAAAAGGATGATGTCCACTGTAAGGTTCAGTGCAGCCTAAGGACAATTTAACAAAATGACCCTCTTGACTGAAGAGCAAACACAATGTTTTCTGAAAGTCAATGTTTTAAGAGAGCAAAGAAAAAAGGGCAGAGAAAGAGGTGATTCACACATTCACGTCTGGACTATTAGGATTTATACAGGCAAGGTCACCCCTCCTCCCCTGAACAGTCCCTAACTGATCTTCCATGAGTCAGTGAATCCAGGGGTCTCTGGGCGGCCGGAATTGAGTGGAACGGCATGATGCAATGTTTATATACACAGGATCAGACGCTAGGTGACACAGATTGATGGATGACAGCGCTTTGTTCAGCCTCACACACACACACCACTTCTCAAAGACACTAAAGGTGGCCAGGCATGCATTAGTGTGACTGGCTTTGTTAGCATTTTGCTATCAATCAGCGGGCATCATGCCCGACTCTACGCTACAGCAGCAGTGACATCCGCGTACTCCCACAATGTCTGCCAATCCTCTTCAGCGCCATGTTGCATAATGACAGCGTCTGCTCGGCTGATGCCTCTAACAGGCATAATGTGTGTCTGATTCCAACAGCTGCGCTTATGGACGGTAATGATCTACCTTAACAGCTCCATCTTCTTCTTTCTCCCTAAAAAAGGAACAGCCATTTTCTACAAGGTGTTCCCAGCCACATGTGGTAGCCAGTCGGTGTTAAGATGCTGAGCGCTAATCAGATAACATGAGCTGCTGCAACAGAACAAGACCAAACTGGCTCGAGCCTTAATTACCTTCCACTTCAAGGGTTATATATTCAAAAATGAAAAGGAGCAATCGAGATTATGATCTTTGATTGGTGAACGGCAACTAATGACCAGAGTGACAATTACAGTGTGACAGAGTAACAATTACAAGAAAGGCTGATGTGTACAGCTCAAGCTAACCAGAGCTGCCTTTTATAATCTAAAAGAATAGATGGAGGACTGGAGGATTGGGTCAGAGGAGGAGGAGGAGTAACACATGGCATCTGGTCCACTGTTGAGACACAGGGCTTTCTGGCCTCCTGATTCTCATCAAAGACACACACACTTTGACACTGTGGAGGTATGTGAGGGGTCTGACTGGAGCAGATGTCTTCTCAGTGAGGACATGACCATGCACAGAGACTCCGACACCCCTTCGAGAGCAGAGCTGGCAGCTGTTGCCAAGGCAATGCTTGGTGCTTCTGTTTTTGGACAAGGTCGACAACATCATGATGCGATGCGATGCTTCCTTTCACCTGCTTGCCTTCTCTGTTACTCAGATACTTAAGTAGCTCTGAGACTGAAACTATGACTGTAAATACCAATTGTATTTCAAATAAAATCCAATTAATACAATGTGATTTCCTATATGACAGTTTGAATTACTTTTTCAACATCACTCATCAAAACCTTATTAATCTTGGTGGTAGTTATGCTACTAAAACTTCTCCCCTGAATCTCAGCTTGTGTTGTAAGCTGAAGGTGGCGGAAAGGGTTGAATGACAGACACTATACACTTGCTCTGTGGGAAATGTAGGATTGAACATTTGGATCTATTCAAAGCAACTGGAAGTCAGAACATTATAGCCTGTACTGCATTGATTTCCACTATTTTTTGACAATCTCTTTCTCTATTCCTCTAGTGAATCCCCAACATTTATCAAAATGTATTTCTAAATGTTTGCAGGATCCACATGGCCTCTCAAACACTGTTGTGCTCTGCAGTATGTGCACCTGCCCTCTCCACACTGTCCCAGCCCTGTGCTGCACTGCGTGCCAGAAAAGTGCCTGTCCTCAGCAGGAGCCTCCGCACAGAGCAGCATGCTAGGATCACTATTAAGACATCATCCTCTAGATAGGCTGTGTGCAACCTGCACTCCCTCTGCTTTGTTATAAAGCAGAATAATAGGAAGATAAAAGATAGAGGGATTTAAAAGAAATGCCATAATTATGCATTGAATCAACGGTTTTAGGAAGGGAGATGTAGTGGTGGAAGGATGAGGATCAATACAGAATCTTTTTAAATGAAACACTGTGGGATAATTTGGATCCTCAGGTCCTCGATGACACAGCTAGAAACTGATTTCATTGGAAGATTTTAAAAGTGTGTGTCTGTTTATGTGTTGTCTACAGAGAACCATTAAATATTCAACATTATTTTCAAAACTGTGCCCACCTTTACCCAGATGAATGGCTAATGAAACCTACATCTTAGAGAGGTCGAAAAGAGTACCTCTCATTAAACTTGCACTTAGTCCTTTCCAATGAAAAGACCCCATGAGTCGTTTATAATAACACACTCCCCTGTAATATAAACCGAATAGGCACCAGGAGACTCTGCGGTATAAGGAAGTCAGAGAGGTCCGCATTTATTCAGGCAATTCTCTGAGCACTACGGTGCTTTATATCATGCAGCACTTTCTCTTTCATTCTGAACTCAGGAAACATGGGTCAGTGGGGAGAAGAGGAATCCTTTAAAGCCTTAAACAAAATGTATTTTCTTGGCCCAAGCGTGTTCGATATACAAGTGCGTGATAAAAAATGCAAAACTTTGCACTGGAAAAGTGCTTTGTATGGAATAATTTAAATTGTTGCATGTAACATTTTACGAGGAAAATAAATTGATTTCTCTGGTGGTTATATTGCTTTGAATGAATCTCTACAGCTGTTGGGAAAGCTGTAATATTCCCAATTTTCTCATGACACTACTATTGAAATGATTTAGACCTTGAAGTTAAGTAACACACTCAGTGTTTAAAAGCAGATGTATATTTGTGCTGGACAGATGCCCACATGGAAACAGCATGGTTGAAAATGAGACCTTTTACTTACATTTAAAAGCTGTGACAGCTCCAACACCACCATGGGCTCGCTCGGCTGCGGTTCCGGACGCACTGTCACAGTCAGGATCTTGGAGTTGATCACCGCAGGGGGACTACAAAGATAGAAACACACATAAGACTGTGGTATTTCCTACTGCACATCAACAATTACAGTGAAAATATCCCAATAACACACAAATACACCTTCACACCCAGTTCTCCCCCTTGCTTTTGAGGGGTTTTGAACGTTCCTCGCAGAGCTAAACAAATACATAAATGAATAAACATGAATTAAAAACTGAAGAGAGAGCCAGAAAGCAAGTGAGGAGAGCGCCTGAGTAAAATCAGAACACTGGACCTATTAGTATTCAGCAGAGCTGCAGAGAGAAAAGGGGTTTTAACAGATCTAGCTCATCCACAACCAAGAGCACTGACCTGAATAAAAGGGCCCAGGACTAGCACAAACACCGGATCACACCCTATCAAGGCCTTTTGACAACCTCCTGATTCCTCCCAACTTCTGCCTTTGTAAATTATATTCAAGATTCAGGACCCATTAAGCCTGCACCTGTTTGAGGGTCTACCGTACACTTCCAAAAAACATTGACAAAGCAAAAGAAAAGGGAAAGAAAGGGAAATCTATGATGATAACCTTTGATAACTCAGATAACCAAGCACACATGAGCAGAGAGGAGAGAAGCAAGAAACATTATAAGACAGAGAGCGAATTGGAGGTTGGAATTAAGTAGAAGGAAGAAGCAACAGAAAATAGGGCACAAAAATAGAAAGGTTTTGAATAGGAAAAAAAAAACTATGTGGGAGATGAAAGATTGTTGGGATGTAGAAAGGTAACAGAAAGGACAAGCAGCTGAGTATAAAGTACTCACTTTGGCACAGGCAGGATGACGCCCAACGTTCGGTACAAGATGGCTCCAATGACGTAGTACATCGTCGACTCCGAGTCCGTCTCTGTCTCTGAAACAGATCATTTTGCAAATGATCAGCCCAATTATGTAACATGGCCTAAGACACGTTTAAAAATCAAATGTACATGCATTTATTTTATATATCTAGGTTTATCTTGTGCATGGGCACATAATACTGGCAAAAAAGTATTTTAAACATTAGAAGGGAAATAGTTCATCAAAGTTGTCTGTTAGTGGTTAAGAGGGTGGAAGTGGTTCGAATGAAATTCAAAAAAAAAACAAATTCCAGACAATATGACACTTTCTCATCTGCTTTTTAAATCATAGGCTGGTGAGATTGTAATTATGATTAATAACATTTGAGCTAACTTGCACTGACAAGGTGATATAAATAACCTAAAGAGGAAGCGTCTATTGGTGAAGCAAACAAGCACACGTCTCTTCTGTCTCTTCAACCTTCAACACCAGTTCACATTTACTGTCACCGACAAATGCTCCATCGGCTACATCAGGGGAAATTGCAGCATATTCCTGAAGTGTATGACAGCTACATATTTAATACTCCTAATTAAGGTTCTGAATTAAAGATGTACAGCTAATTCAGGTGACAGATCCTTTGTGTGGCTGGAGACACTGTTTGTGTTAGTTTGTTCACCTCTGAGCAGCGAGTAGCTCACCTATTGCTCAGCAAGACTTAATACACAAGCCTTGTTTCTAAAAGCAAGCACATCACTCAAAGGGGGTGACTAACTTAATAAATAAATAAAGTCAAAAGTTTCCAGCCCTCTTTAGACAGCGTCCTATCTTTTTCTTTCCCCATCTAGCTTCGTATCCCCTTTCCTCCTCCTCCTCAATACTCTCCTGTCCTCTGTTGTTGGCATTTTCCAACCAACTTTTCAACACTCCTTTACAACCCCTCGCCTTCCATCACTCCCTCTGGTGTTCTTTTGACAAAAAGAGCAGGAGCTCACGAGGAGACGCTCTGTCCCTCTGTAAATGTCACTTTGTCTCGAGTGAGGAAGGGCAGAGAAAAGTAAGAGGGAAAGAGTTCATGTTGAGGGACACCACTCCCTCCTTTGCCCTTTTAGGCAGAGAGAAGCGATGGAGGAGCGTCAGCAGAGGGGGATGGAGGAGGGCAGGAGAAAGAGAGGTCGGGTGGATGGGGTCGATGGTATCAGACGTACTGGGTGACTCATCCAAAATCAGTCACAAGAGAGATTGCTATGCAAGACAGGCGAGGCAAGAAAGAGGAAGAGACAAAAAAGATCCTGACAGTGGGAGAAAAAAAGATTAAAGTCGGGGATGAAAGAGCCTGTGTGTCACAGTTCAATGATTTCTGGACCCAAGTGCAGATCCACACAGACACATGTAGGTGCAGTGAAGAAGCCTTAATTTCACTTGTGATTGTTCAAAGTTACTGGGAGACTGAAGCAAAGGGAAATAACATGAACGATAACAATGCACAAATGTAAAAAACAAAGCAAAGTAAAACTCAACATACTCAAAGACAGGTGGGGCAGGAAATTACAAGGTTAGAAAAGTACACAGCAGATAACTGCAATGGCTTTGAAAACCTAGAAAAGTATTTGCTTTCACTAACTTCACTGAGTTTTATTTGTAAAGCGAAACACAAAATTGTAAGTTTTGACCAAAGCAGAGGTCAGGCAAGTTAAAAACAGGGTCTGCTGATCATTCCTGCAGGGGTTTGTATATACACGCTATCAATCTTATTGGCTATCATCTGATGATGAATTAGCCTCTGTGGGCAACAGCCAATATTTTGGGACTCCTGTTGTAGACAGCTGGCTAGATCACTTTTTCAATTCGCCTCAAACTGTTTACAGTCTGACCATTTTCTAACTAGAATGGTCGGACATTTCTCCTCGAAAAGTTTTAATATGACTAATTTAAAATCTCATTAAGCAAACACAATTTTTAATGGTTAAATCCCCCAAACCTGATAAGCAGTGACACCAGAATTTTAAGTATATTTAAATTCAAAATGTTTCAAAAAGTTTTTATAATTATGTAAGGTACATGATGCGAAAAAAAGTTAGTATTTTTCTTCAAAAAAAAGAGAGTGCGCCTCAAAATAAAAGTGCAGTAAGTTGCCTTGATATTTTGAGTTTTCCTGTGTGATAACAAACTAAAACAGGAAACCAAATCCATATGAAGCCACTCAGAGGGGAATATCATGTGAGAAAGGTGGATCCTAATTGGAGAGTGTCCACAAAGGCATACAAATGAGAAAGTCAGTGGGAGTATTGTGGGTAAACTGTTAATCAGTGTGCGAGAGAGGGGCAGTACTCCTACGCTTGCCACTGATTAATACCACAAAAACATTGCCCATGAACAGACCTTTTGTCACTCTCTCCTTGCTGAACATCTAAGTGATTGGTGGTCAGCGTTATTCAGCAAAATGGCAACGCACAATTCACCTGCTGTGAACTTTAATACGCCATCTGTCAGGGAGAAGATATGCTCGGACTTGATGCGAAGCAATAAATCATGGTTTTAATCAAAGAACGAAAAGCTCTATCCAAAAAGTGAGTTCCTCTTTATCTTCCTCCAAAGGATCTGTTCTGTTACAACAGCATTTTCTAAGCTCAAATATAAATTGAGAAGAATGCCACCCACTTGGGGATTTTGAATTATTATGCTGTTTTACATAATGCTACATTCAATCCAATACCAAGTTTAATTTAAATGTTGTTTTAGCTAAAGTTGTCTAAAGTTTGACAGTTTGACAAATATAAATATTCACTCTCTTAGAAAGTAGATGAAAAGATTGATAGCACTTGCAGATCTGTGTAATATATATAAAGATAGACAACATGTGTCTCCGTCTGCAGCCAGAGATTTAGCCCAAATATCCCAGATATGAGTTCTGCCATCTTGTTTATCTGGAGTCTGCACAGTATAGTGACCAAGGCCTGGAGTCAGATTATCAAGGTCCCAAATAACAAATTATCAGACACATATACACATGGACATAAAACTCCCTAAATGACTTATATATATTTGCAGTATAATTTGACTTTTAGGTTTGCCCATATCCCATCTGCTTAGATTGAGGAGGCACAGTCCAGCCAGCAGCCTCGGAGTCTAAGTAGAGCGGGAGCCAAGAGACAATTTCTGTGTTTAGTTAAACAGGAAGATGGGTAAGTAGTCAGCCTGGCTCTGTAAAAGGTTCAGAACCATGCCTCCCAACACCTCTAAAGGTCACCAATTAACACATTTCATCTATTGTGGGAACAGAAATTTTAATTAAAGACATCAGCACCAATTATAAACCAAAAAAGTAATATTCCAAGCTCATGATAATTTAATATTAACATAGCAAGAGTGAAAGTGCAAATAAGAAAGTCATTCTTACTTATTTAAGATCAGATTATTGTGTTTTTGTTCTTACTTGATGCATACTCCAAAGTTAAGGGTGCATAACCATTAGCTTGTACAAGGAATTGCAGAGTTTAAATTATTATTGGCTCGTATGTTTTGATCTACGTGTGTTCACGGCTGAGAGAGGGCATGTACTGCCTGCATGTGTAGTTGTGAGAGAAAGAGAGAGACAGTGGAGGGAGAGAGGGGAGTTCGTCACCTCGAAAATTGGTGAAGAACAGTCCCAGCCTCTGCCCAGCGAAGCGGCTCATGAACCTATCAATTGACTGCGCGATTGTACGCACAGACACACACAGGTGCCGATGGGCCTTTATGAGCATGTTTAAGCTGTCCATCTGAGATGGGCTTTCATTACGGAGTAAATGAACCAAACAAACTGATAGCAATCAACGGAAGAACTCAACACATTGGCGGCCAATGGGAAGAGGCAGAGTTTCCACAGGGGCAAAGGCTACTAATCATTTCCTAACTCAAGTCTATATTGAGGCTATGTGCAGTTTGGATAAAATAATTTAAAAAACAATGGAAAATTGAAGTTAAATGTCCTGAGAATAGCAGTATAAATGTGCTGCAGCCGGCCACTTTTGTTGCACAAGCACACCAAGATTCAAAACTGTGTTTTCTGGACCAAAAATGTTGGCAGAAAAAGGCATGAAAAGCAGTGAAATAAAACAAAGGGACATTTTCAATGGGGAGCAAGAAAGAAAAAAACATTGCGTTGAAGTAGCATTAAACAAGCTTATCCAGACAGCTTAATAAACAGGTTCTGTTTCATGAAAGCAAAAAGGATGGTTGGGTGGCAGGGTAAGCATATTACATTCTGCATAATGTGGGGACAGATATGAGGTGAGTTGAGGTAAGGTGCCCTGAGGTTATGGGAGAGGATGCTTCGAGTGTCAGACTAAAAGATTCAGTGTCATCAGTGCGAGTCAGAGGTCAGAGACGGCTCTGCTCTCTCGGCCTGCAGCCTCTCTGAACTTTAATTTGGGGAAGGGGACAGGGTGCCAGACAGGAAGTCTGCCAGTCTAATTTCCTGTGAGGTGTGACCTTTCCCTTCATTGGCAGTGCATTGCATCTGCCACGGTAATTCCCTTATCCACCATAACCCCCTTTTCCTCCCACTTTGGTTTCCCTCCACAACTTTAGCTCCTGTGTCTCCCGACAGCATCTTTCTCTTTATAATAACCTCATTATTCCTTCGTGTTGCATTTGGATGATCACTTTACTTACTTGAAACCACAAGGAAAAATATTCAAAGCAGTTAAGACAAACTGCAGTTAACTTTCTTGTGCTGCAAAAGCGGAAATTCCTCTTTTGAAATTGTATGAGGACTTGATGCACTCAAGGGGATGCAGCAGACTTCGTCATAGATGAAAGACCTGCATTTTCTTGAGAAGCCCTCCAGGGCCTCTTTACAGTTCAAATCCTTTGCAGTGTTACCCTCCCATGTCCTTGAGAAGGCTTCTATCTGCTTCCATGAGATACATCTCTAAGTGTGTGAATTCACACTGGGATAACGCTTTCGTGCCGTCTGACCTTGGCTAAAGAGAGTTGAGGGGAGTAAAAACGTTTCCTCTTATGTCCTAAGATTCAAGATGGCTAGTGTGTATGAAAACTGAAACAGATCCAAATCATGGTTATGAGCTCAGTTTTTAAACCTACTGAAACAAGACTGCTGTTTGCCACCTGTATGAGCCACCTTCAGTGATAACCCTAGTCCTTGGACATTGAATCTGATTGAAAATATACCAGCCTTGATAATTGTTTCTTGATAATTCTTGAAATAAATACAACTTTTCACCATATGTTCATGGTCTAATGGTCCTAGTACAGATTAGTAGCAAAAAGCTGCAATTCTGGACAAACCCTGGTCAGGGGATTTCTTCGTTATAGTTCTCCTACCTTCTGTGGGGATGGTGAAGACCTCTTTAGGGATGTAGAGCTTGTCCTCTGCAGTTCTGGCCCAGTCCTTCATCCCCCTCCGGCCCCTCATGGGGAAGTTGATATCACTCGAAACTGCTGACACCGGCTCTCGTTGGATGGTTATCACTGGACAAACAAGAGATATAAATCACCTGAAACTCACTGACACAGAAAACAGCAGATAAGGATTTGATAAATGTGGTGTGCCAAAAACTATGAAAGCTATGTTGCAGTAAATGTGTATCTCGATTGAGTAACGTTTTTTTTTGTCAAATGAAATGAGGACATTTTTAGGCCGGAGAAATTGCACGGGATACAATTTTTTTTGAAATAGAGAATACAGAATTCACCTTAATTCTCTAAAATATACAGTAAATTAATTGACGTTGATTTTTTAAATAATCTTCTCTAATCTTATCTCATTGCAGCACTACGTGACACTTACTGAGATTGTTAGTAACCACTAGAAAACTCTGAAAAGGCTTCTGGGCTTCTCCGATGAGGTGAATGAAATCCTCTAATGTCCTCATCAGCAAAGCGGCACCGGGAGCGACCTGCGGACGGAGTGATGAAAAACTCAGCTCAGCATTCATTATGATTTCAACATAATCACAAGTCATGGCTGACTTTCTGTGAGACATCTCTCACCCATTGAAACATTTTTATTTGTTTCATTATCTAGACCAATGATTGCGTTCCAGGGTGGTAAACTGTGACCATGTGGGATAGAATATCATACTGGGTTTGCTTGTTTATTGGGTCCAGATGGCATGTAAACACACATCAACTCAAGGGCATCAAGCTGGGTCACACACAAAAACACACAAATGTGCAGAGACACATACACCTACCTGGTGTAATTAATATGAAGCAACTGTGTTTAGTAAACAGGTGGGTTTTTATGACTGTAATAATTAAAAGTTAATGTAGGGTATGCATGCGCAGGCAATACTTAATCACACAAACACTCACACACATGCGCATTTAGGACACCGGGTAGTTATAGGCAGCCACCGGTTACAGTAAAGAGGTGTACAGGGACACACACACACACGACTTTACCTGGTGAGCGTCTTCCCATTTCTCTAGATTTTCCATGTCCAACATGTGACTGACTATCTGGAAGAATTTCTAGACACAAGATGCAGTAGTTGTTAATGCCGAGGAATTCAAGAATCACACAAAAGGGTCGGGCATTGTCCCTTGAACCCAGCAACCCATCATACTGCAGTACTCTTCTATAATTAGGTACACAGGTATATTGTTAAATTGAAAATGTCTGTGAATTGAATTGTATAGTAAAACAGGTGAATAAAATGCCCTCTGAGGCCACAGGCACTGTGCGGCCGTAAGTCATTGTTATGCACACTCGATGGAAGAAAGTAGAGTTACAAAATGTAATCAATGTAGAGGTATATCTGAGTGTGAGGCTGTGTCGAGGACTGCATTGTTTGTATGGTTTCATGACTTCCAAAGGTAGAGTCGGTGGCTCTACCTGCACGTCGTCGGGAGCTGGGATGTAGGTTGCTCTTTTGAAGGTGTCCGTCACATTTCGCAGGATCTCCGTGGAAAAGAGAAGGTCGCCACTGTAGTAGCTCCTCCTCTGCAAGAGCTCCAGGAGACTCCTTACGATCTGAGACATGCCCTCCCCGGCCAGGGTCCTCTGACCCTTCGCGAGATGCTCTCGTAACTGCAACATTATACAGAGAGGAGGGTAAGATGACGTATAAAATGCGTAATCTGTAACCATTGCAGTAATCACAGAAATGATTTTTGATGTAAGGTGAGGGGAATGTTTCAGGAAAGAAGGAATTATATATATATATATGTATATGGTTGGATTTTCAAAATAGGTGAGTAAAAACAGGCCTAGCATTACTCTGTGGCAAAATGTGGTGTTCATACCTTCAGAGAAAGAGACACAGACAGTAAGATGTAAGGGTGTGTGTGTGTGTGTGTGTGTGTGTGTATTTGATGTGCAGAAAAGGGGGAGAATGAAGTAGAGAGACAGCCTGGAAGAACAGAAGATAACAGCAATCACAGAAAATTAATTATTGACTCCTGGAGTTAATGAAAGCTTGCTAAAGAAACTACCAGAGCAACCTGCTCCGTCATGCACAATCCCTGACCCCCATCTCTTTCTGCCTTCATTGAGGAGATGAAAAAGGTTGAAGTTCACACAGCAGGAAAACAGTCTGGCTGATGAACACATTCATTAGCCGTGTTCATTAATTGATAAGTGTGAGCGAAAAGCTCTGGAAAAGCTAATCAGAGATACCAGGCAAGCTATGAGGAAAGAGACTCCTATATCTCTGGTACAATTTTAAAGTTGAACAGAGGAACATGATGACTGGAAATAGGGCAGTTGAGTTTGAGAATTTCTTTTGACAAAAGGTAGAGACAGACAAGTTTGATGAAGGTGAAGTAAACGTCTAAAGTGGCGACAAGTGAATAGGCAAATCCATTTTAGATCGACCAAGGAGGTTATGTTTTTATCTGCATCTGTGAGACTTATTCATGGATTGTGATGACAAAACATCAGGCATGTGTAGTGGACTGATATTTCTCAGTGTGTGCAATTTTGTGCAGATCCAAATAAAGATCTATCGTGAATATAAATGTGGTGTCATGGACTGTTGGGCCTTAGCGGTGGTATGCCCTTTTCATTTCTTCTTGCTGAAGGTGTTAGAAAATATCATTGCAGAGGCAGCTTCTTAGTTTGGGAGTAGGGATTTGTTAAAAAGGTAACTTACAGATAAATGTAAATATCTAAATTCAAGTGAGACGCATCTGGCGAAGCTCGGAGGACCCCAGAAAGCAACTCCATTAATGTCCAGCATGCAACGACGACTAGCAGATCCTAGAAGAAATGAGACACAAACAGAAAACATTAACTTTTTTGAAAATTTTGAAAATAAATCTGCCCAGTCACTCATTATCTACAGTACTGCTGGTGTATATACTGGAGGCTGACATGCTGTGCGTCAGTATAATTTATATGGTGCAGAAAAATGCATTAGGATGGAGAAAGATACTCTGAATACTTATGCTACTGCCATAGTAACCTTCTTTTATTTCTGGAACTAACTTTCCATTCATCATATAGTCAGTGTAAAACACAGGATGTCATGTGCTCAATGTATTTTAGTAGATCAACCTCACAACGGATACAAAAACAGAAGTCAAAAATTCAAACAAAAGGTTTCATTGGTAGATTTCTTGGAAAATGATATATTGGATTCTTAAAATATCCAAAAAATGTACAGTTCTACATTGTCGAGAAGCCGATACCTGGCTGTTTGAACCTGGCAGACGGGAGGAAAGCTGCTGCCAAACAACTGCCAAAGTACTTTGCTTTGCTAAAACAAGAAGTTCTCCCAAGCCAAAATAAATATGCACTAGCAAAAGTCTTTCTCTTCCTTCTTATCAAGACTAATAGATTGAAATAAATAAAGTCTTAAGTTAGTCTGTTAATTAAATTTGGTACATGGACTGAGCTCAGATGTAATGCTCTTTACTGGCAGGCTCTACCTGATTCAGACAGACATGCTTTGATGTCTTAGCCAATGTTATAGTTTGAAAGATGAAGGAACACACGTTTATATCACAGTCCGTCTGTACCACATTTGCTCTTGGCTTAAATTATGAAAAAGTGTCTAAAGACGAAAAGAAAAAAGATTTGAGGTTTGTTCTTGTTTCTGATTTTGGAAGTTACAAGAAAAGCTCTGGCAGCCGGCTGTTGGAGAAACTCTGAAGTTGCACACCAATAAGGTTTGACAGCATTCAAACATTTCTGCCGCACTAATTAAGGGGAGATGCTGGGTAATGCATGAATTGGATCTTTTATGATGAATGCCTATGTATATCAAAGCTAAAAATAGGAATACTATATTATACTGTAAAGTACCTTCAGCATTTGAATTTTGACACTTGTAATACAGTAATTTAGGATATCCTTAATATTATGCTATCTATTTTATAATGTTGTCTACGCTACTGAGACAATCGCTGTTTGGTTGTTTTCACAGAGACACATTTAAGGTGGTACAATAAGGTATTTATTGTATGAAGTTCTGTAACATCATTATTTTCTCGACCTGCATATGCCACGTCACTGACAGATTACTGCTTGGGCAAAGTGGGCACAGTGGTGGTCCTTGGCCTTAAGATTTACTATTAAGCTCTCATTTTAATGTGCTGATGAGGAATATAGGTATTTTCCAACCTGGGCCACGTATTTAGAAACGTGGGTGTGTAAATAAATCCACAAAATCACCTTGGCCGGCAACCATGACACAGAGGCTACAATTTAATCTTATGGGGCAACTGTGACAGTCCATGAAGAGTCTAATTAAGTGTTTTGTTTTGCCATTAAATTGTTATTCTGGGACTTTGCTAAGTGTCTGGCAACATTACACAGACCTGCCTCAATGAGAAGTCTCACTCGCCGCCGTGCAGCAGCGAGTGGTCCCTCTTTTGCTCTTCAGTTTGAAGGAGCTCTTTGTCCATTGAGTCAAATGCTTCATCAACGTTGTCCACATCAGGAAAAGATGCAGCAATAACAGTTTCTCTCAGTGAAATCTAAACTCCTCTCTCCGAATCTCTCTCTCATGTTTACACCTCTGTCTTCATGCAACAACCCGAGTCCCCCCAGACTTGAGAGTGAGACGTGTAATGTTGCCAGACTATAAGCAAAGACCCAGTGTAACGATTTACATTTAATGCACTGTCAATGTTGCCCCATATGATTACACTGTAGACACTGCCACCATGTTGCTGCTGCTGCTGTTCTACTGGACTGATTCCAGAGGTTTTTTAAAGCACTATTAATTTACACGGCTATATTTATAAATAATGAGTCCAGGTTGAAACAATCTGGAATTCTCCTTTAAGTAACACATTTAAAAAAAATTGAAATATGACTTTGTAACATGATTTTGTAATGTATGTATTGCCTGTTTCTGACGCCTTTTGTCAGCAACTGCAAAGGAGCATCCCTTGCAAATATTGATGATTATAAACAAACTTCAGGCCTGGATGACTCAGTAATGACTAACATGATGATGTAACATACTGTCACTACACTGCCATTGACCCCTTGAACAATAAGTGTTCTTCTGAGAAGGCTAAAAGAATCACCAGGTTTCATGTGGTATAATACTGGTGCTAATATATGTAGACTCCTAAAGCTGGCATGTACAAAAGACCTAAATAATTGAAGTGCTGTGTGGTAGCTGTCCAGGGCCTGTGGTCATGTTACATTCATGATATACATACATTCACTGGGCAAACAAACCTCTTACACTGTAGGCCTGCAGGGCACATTTTCTACTGCCAGCTTATGACTGGTTGGCTACAGTGTGAGTCACTGAGTCCTCGAACATTCATCATTCACAAACACACAATTTATGAGAAATAAAACATGCCAACAGCAGTATGAGCTTCAGGCGCGTCATGTGACTGACCAGTGGCGTTAGTTGGACACTTGTTGTAGACGGTTTCTCCAGCTGAGGCTCTCTTCCATGACATCGAGAGAAGATGCTCATCTTTACATATCTCATGAGGAGCTGTAGAAGTAGGTGGAAAACACATAGGAATAGTGAAGCGAAGCATAGTGTAGCAGGCTCACGGAAAAAGAAAAATCATCACACTCCCACAGACACAGCCACAGAAAAAATAGGGAGACAGAAAAGCGCAAAAAAAACAAGATTCAAATCAATGTTCTCCTGCAGCAGCTCCCAATCTTATTCCCTTGTACATTGCTCAGTGCTCTCTGTCAGTGTCACTGCCTCGGTACAGTATCTCACTCCCTGTTCATCTTACCCCCTCTCTTTATTCATCTGTTTCCCCCCCCCTCCCTCTCTTTCATAACCCTGAAGAAAAAAAGAAAACGAGGGGCAGCGCTGTGAAGATATTCCAAGGGGGCAGACGAGTGTTGGCAGAGGCGATGCAGTGAGATGAAGTGGGATGGAGAGCAAAGAGAGACACACAAAAAGAGAAAAATACGATATGATGTTCCCCTGCAATGCCAACAGACAAGATCCTCGTCTTGTGTAAGAGAGACTTGAGAGCCTCTCAAAACAAGGGGTCACGGTGGAAGCTGCACTCAAACATTTATCATTGGTAGCCTGTCAGAGGCGAATGTGGGTTTCAGGCTTGTTCATATTCCCATGCGCACACACAGCTTCAGTCAACAAACATGCTTATTAAGGAACACTGATTCCTGCAGTGGCTGAAACTCACAGTGGGCACTGAACACCTCAACTTGAAACACACAAATGTATTCCATTCATGGTTAGGGTTGGGTAACAAAATCCAGTGCCAATCTGGTTCCTACACAGCCTTTACCCACTGGACAGAATTGCAACACAAATTTTGGTGCCTGAGCTATATACCCACATAGTTGCCTTGCTAACAGGCAGCATGTAACATTTCCCTCCAGTTCCCTAGTAGGTACCTCGAGTTGACATGACAACATAATGCTTCAAGCTAAAAGGTCCAACATGTGGCCATATTTCAAAACTATTTTGTGTAAAGGTGGTGGAGAGACAATTAATGATGAGTTTGGAGCTAGAGTATTTTGCTGAAATAAATTCTGAAACTGTAATTTACTATAAAATGATGGTAAGAGGGTTAGTTTTTATTTATTATGTCAATAAGTGGTTTGAATCTGTTCAATTTAGTCGGTTGTCAGTCACTGTTTAGGCACCTGGACTATTTTAAAAGCATTAATGTAGAAGTAATATTAGAAAATACCCCTACAATACTCAACCTTATTCATGAGTTTAGTTTTGCTTCTAGTCATTGACCAGTTATCGAAAACTAGCATCTTTTCAAGTTCATGTTTTTCATGAATCAAGAATCCATTCATTATTTATCAGTGCAATGTTTCCTGTGCTGCTGCTGGCACGAAACCCCGAAGCAAAACATTACCCTTATATAACACTGTCCATAGTTTTTGGGCTTCAAAGCTTTATTTGATAGAACAGAGCATGAAACGGGGAGAGGAAGACATGCAACAAAGGAATTGTCCATGTGTTGGCTGCAGGAGGCCTCAACCCTCTCTACAAGCCTCCTATTTAAATAGTTGGTGTTTTCATCAAATGCTTGTTTTTGTCTCCAATTACACATTTGGTTATTGTGGCCCAAGAACAACTCATCCACTTCCAATATATGGAATATGCATCATATGGAAGTTTTGGAAGTCTTTCCACTCAGCAGACGTTCTGTCTTATCTAGAAGTTTTCACAGTCTTCCAGACATTGTCCTGACCTTTCAAAGTCTCCTGTACTTTGTAGCCATCAGTCAGGTTAATTTTCAGATCCTCCAGTGGCTTCTTAGACGAACCCACGGTTGTTGAGTGTAATCACTGGGTTTGAGAATTCAACACCTCTGGAAATGTCATCAGCTGATAATTCTGCCTTACAAGTTTTAATGAGTCACTTAAGACTCCATTACAACTTTATAAAGATCCAGCAAGATGCCTAAACTTTTGCTTAGGCCACAATTGCCATGTATTGCTTTTTTTTTCTATAAGTTCATGCAATAGGAATTAACAGTATAATGGGCTTGTAAGTAAAACATCGACAAAAAAGGAAAGCACCATATGTAAAGGACATGCAAAATCAATGAGGAGGACAAGATGGATGGGTATGTGAATTGGCAGGAACACAGACAAGAGGCAGACATAGAGGAGAAGAGTGCTGTTCTAAAAATATGTTCAAAGCCTTTAGCTGTGGTGTGAATCAACAACTCTAGCACACACACACACACACACACACACACACACACACAC